AGTGATAATGTTATAAGCAGTACCATCAGTAGCGGCAGCAATTGTAGTGGTAATAATCAAGTTTATAGGGTTATGTAGTAATAAATTTGGTTGGAGTTTTGGTGATGCCTTGGAATTGATGTTTTCGCTGGTGGTATTAGCAGTAGTAGTAGTTGTAGTATTAGCAGTAGTAGTAGTGGTAATAGCAGTATTAGTAGTAGTAGAAATAGTAGTAGTAGTGGTGGTATTATCAGCAGAATCTTTAGTATTAGTAGTACTGGTAGTAGTATTAGTAGTTGTCATGGCACTGACAGTAGTTGTAGTATCAGTAGTTACAGCAGTATTATTATTAGTAGTAGTAGTAGTAGTAGCCGTGTTAAGGGTAGTGTTGCTAGTATTACTATTAGCAGTCGTAATAGCAGCAGCAGCAGTAGAAGTAGTAGTATCACTAGTAGTAGTAGTAGTAGTAGTAGTAGTAGTAGTAGTAGTAGCAGTAGTAGTAGTAGTAGTAGTAGTAATAGTAGTAGTAGTAGTAGTAGTAGCATTGACAGCGGCAGAATCGTTAATGTCGACAATGGGAAGGATTTAATTAGTGATATTAATGGTATTATTGCGGATGGAGTTAGTAGAATTACTAATGGAAAGAATGTGATCACGCGATCACTGGGACAGTACGTGTAGTCTGAACTTTCGGTCCCGTACAGAAGGCCACAATCTGGGGCTGAGAATGCGGCGTCAAATGAGCCGTATTGTAGTCAAACAAAAAAGGTGGGATAGGAGTGGAGGGGGTGGTGCTCGAGTTAAGACTAAGTCCACGCCATCTCATGGCTTTGTGACGGTGTGCACCCTTGGCTGGGACTAGAGTCGCGTCTTTTGTCTGCGAGGACTGAGCACATGTTAGCTTGTCTGTTGATAGAGTTGATGTCAGACACTCGGGCCTCCAGGGGTTCTCGTCGTGTCTTATTGCTGGCTTGCACCATTATCCGCGTTTTCGTGAAGTTGAATTCTTAATCTTCCTCCAGGGTGAGTGGCGGCCTGAAACAGTGGGTCACCTTAATGGCTGTCATTTGGGACAATCGGCATAAGGCCTTGACTGCTTCCACATATTATGGACCGATTTAAGGAAGTTGATGAATTTTCTCCCTTCATTTCCAAAGAGAGGAACATATTCCAATAATGAATCCGATCCAAAAGCTGCATCATGAAAAAGGGTACACCAAAGGGGACTTATGTGATATATCTCATGGAAAAAAGCGTCCCAGAGGGGCTTTATGTGATATGAGAGGTCAAGTAGGACAATAAATGTGAATGAAATAACGACACAGAGCATGCAATAAAACAGGTGCAGATCAGTCCTTACGAGCTCATTTGCGCAGTATATGGTCATAAAATGTTCACAAACACATGTTTGCATGACTGACATACTTGACCTAAGAAATCAACCGTCAGGCATAATTTTTTAAGAAAACCAGGGGCGCTAATAATGATGAGATCCACGAAGCGTAATTGGTCTTCTGATGGTGATATAGGCAGCTGCAGAGGACCGCCCATTTCATCTGGTTATGTGTGGTTTATGAGCGAATTATAGATGATTCCCTCTAGCACTGTGTACTTCGTATGTAGTGAGGCCGACGGTTTGCATCAAAAGCTATTTTCACAAGTCCTGTCTCCATTATAGCGTCCATTCACGGCGAAACATTCCAACATGCAAAAGTGGTAGGAGGCTGTTATTTTATTCAGATGTGTATCTCTGGAGACGCAACAACATTCGTAACTTTTAGGTAACCCGCCGAGTAAAATTTCGAGGCAGAATATAATGATTATCCTGCCTTATTTGTTCGACCCGCTGTCTTGAAACCGAAGTTGGTAAGGTCATTAGGAAAGTTAAACTCCCGCTCCTGACAGTTCGATCGACACAGGCGGCGATGCCCATCGTGTGACCTAAGGGGTGGACGTAGCACGGGCGAACTGCAAGCGAAATACTTCATTAGACTTGTGGAGCATCCACTGCACCCTCACTTTCTTCATGCAACATTTGCAATGGCAAACCAATGTCAAGACTACTGGAGGTGGGTGCGGACACAGCAGCTGATGAAACTAAACGGTTTTCTACGTTTCTGCGACTCGACCTGGCTTCAGTGCATGTACGAGGTTTCTGTCAGCGCAATCCGGAAATCACATGTGCGAGAATGTCATGAAGACCGCACTGAGAATGGCACACTGCAGCTTCACACGCAGGCCTGAGTGGAACCTTGTTGTCACGACTATTTTCCAAACCCTTTACCCCAATCGCACCAGATATTGACTTCTTCAAACATGTCATTCCCGTCGTATGGGAAAATGAGTTATTTTGGCGTGGGAAGGGATTGTCCCGGATCAGCGTCGATCGCGCTAACCTCTCTCATGATCCCCGTCAGCTGCCTGAGTCTGGCAAGCAACTGGTGATGGGACTCGACGCGGCGTCACAGTCACTTCTAACGCATGTCACATGCATGTGAGACAGTAATTGTGCATATGCGTGCGAATACAATGCCGGAACCAAAAATCACCACTAAACTGTCGAATGCATAGTGAGACAAAGAGTCAACAGAGAAAACACAGCTACCGGAAAACCAAAACCTAAACGGGCCTCCTCTTTCATTCTCGCACTAAGGGAAGTAATTATGCATTTGAGCAAGATCAGCGCAAACCGTTGTAGCGACCTACACGTCGGACACACTCGACAGTTCCACCGTCGATTCCGGTGATGTCCACCGTGTGCCCCACAGCGTGCTGAGAGCAGGGATGGAAAAAATACGGCTTGGTTGCAATAGTACGATCACGGAAAAGTAGGACGCGGACGGATACGGATTTCAATTGTTCAGCAAAGAAATGAAACAGAAAGCACTGTGGAAGAGAGAAAGTCGTAGCTACAGGTTATAAACCGGTCTATCCTCGTACGTGAACGACCGGTCCCCACAGGTTACATACACCAGCTAACTGAGAAGAACCAAACTGGCCACGAGGATGCAGCTGGATGTTGAATTGTTACTTAAAGTCGTATCTAACTTTGCAGACATACTTTAGCACACTAAAACAAAACGCTTTTATGCCTCTACACGTTTATCAGACAGCACAGATTCCGTGGGATATCATAACTACTGCCAAAGTAAGCATTTATGTGGCACGTCCTAAACGTTGGCCTTCAAGCGGCGTTATTTACTGCACCCAACCGCACTACTAATTGCCACAGGCACTCGGTAGTCGACTCAAGCATTGACGAGGGAAGAGGTAATGAGGCCGACAATGGAAAATACGTTCATCCGAAAATTAAACCGATTCCTCATTATAATAAAATACGAAACGAAACGGTCGTGACTTGAAAGGATGCCAACTGACGGGACAACTCAGGCCTTCTCAGGACTGGTAACAATGCTGTCATAGTTCCTTTTTATTGTAGCCCGTATGGCACTCAGCTTTTGTGTGGCCCGCGTAGACGGGTTGCCTAGTTTTATTGGCCATTGCGCCCTAACCCACCTCCAACCCGGAATATGTGATTGTAGACTTTTTTACTAGCCCGTCTCTGAGGTATTGCGCAGGTGTCCAATATCGCTCCTGGAGAGCAAAATGACGAATTTATCGCTTTTGTCTCTGGGATGAATAATTGTACCGGACTGCTCTTCTCAATTAAAAGGAGCATACACAAGCACCAACCGTGTTTTCTCGGGGACTTTAGAGGGGCAAAGTATCATCTTAAACTACTCTTCTGTGTGGCTGACACAAGTGATATAATTATAAATGAACTTTTGGACTAAACAACCCGAGAGTTCGACTGTGGGTTTCGACAACGTCCACCGTGTGCTACACACCAAGGTGCAACAGGCACGGTGACTTGCGCGTGAACCAGTTCATAATGATAGTAGACTTCCGCAGCATCTACCGCACTCCCTCTTCCCCACATTCTGCCTGCACCCGGTGTCAAGACAGAGTTAAGAAGGCCGGAGGCGGAGGGGATGCAGGTGGCTGGCACAGCCGGAGCCGCACCTAGGCGTGCACCAGAACGCCTGGTCCACAGCAGACATTTGACCAGGATTCTTCATCAATAACAACAACAACACCCCAACAGGGGGTCAGAAGGAGGAGGATGACTGGACAGCCATGCTCACCACCTGTATACCTAGCGGGGGCGCAAGTACATCTACCAGCAGGGAACCGGGTGTCAGGGCACTGCCAGCACTTATCAGGCTACAAGAGCCATGGTTTGCTGATACTGGCATAGCACACGTTTCCCGACCTTTTGACCTAGAAGGGTGGCACGTGGACTTGCATCTAGCCTGGGCTGTCACCCTTCGAGGTTGCGTAACCAAACAGTCATTGACTGAGGGGCACTACCCATAGAGCATACGCACAAACACAAACACTCTCCTTACATGCATGAGAGGGCCACAGATCGCTTTAGCATGGGCCGTGACAGTCCGGCCCTCAGCCCACCAGTCCGCCACTCCGCACAATACACACAACTGGGCAGACTGCGTGGACTGAGGTGGGGTGTCAGTCGTCTGCCTTTTGAGTCACGGTGCTCGACGTACCGTCTTCGTGGATGCGCATGTGACTAATAGACCCATGTGGTCAATAAATGTGCGAGTGCAATGCGGACAGTGGGGGCGGATGCAGCAAATTTTGGTTGGTGCTCCAGGCACTGGTTCGTCAGTCTCTGTGCGATGGATTCGCAAGTGACCGACCAGGCCGATATGTGAGGTGAATGTACGGTGACAGTGTGGACATGAGAAGTCGGTGGTGTCAGTATCAGCTTCGATGGTGGTGGTGGTGGTGGT